GAATGAAGCGGAAAATAGAAGAAAGTTTTCAGGGACTACTTAGAGCCCCACTGCGTACTGCGTTGTCTCCATTTTCGATCTTGTCAACTAAGGGGGAGGGGAGGGTAGAGAGGAGCGTGAAAGGCTGCGGCTTCTGTAACCTGTTAGAAACTCTCGTAGTCTCGCTTCTTAACACCCCGTGTGTTTACGTCTAATAGTGCTATAGAAAGCGTAAATTAGGTGATTATGCAGACCGGAGACCCTGGCTAATGTTCCTCGATTAACAATGCCTGTTATGGATCGGTTCCAGAGTTAAACGCACCCACGAAGGTACTGTTTAACTTTAACTTTTGCGGATGACTTTAGCCGATGTTCCTCTTAGCGGAGTGACTTACTGCCGCAGACCATTACGCGTGGAGGGACGTAGTCTGTGATTGCCTAGTTTAGGCATGATCGCAGCTGCACACTGCCACAAGTGCTGTCCGCCCGATTGCCTCGGTGGAGCGTTTCATCTCTTCACCGTCTTTCTCCTATTCACCATGCTGTGGGGCACACTGTGGGCAGTGTGTTAACTACAATATTCTGAAAAAAAGTATTACTAAAACATTGCAAGTAGTATGTTAATAAACTAAATAAACAGCTAGCCATACCCAACCCCAGGTGGTGCGCCACCCGAGTCTCGAATCCGCGACCTCTTGATCATAGGCCTAACATCCTAACCATTGAGCCACGGGCTCGTTGTGTCGCCGGTTTATCTCGGAACTATTTACTTAGACTTGGCGTTCACCTATCTCACCTGACCTTAAAGCGAACTTCTATTTTCTCGACAGCTGAATTTACCCTTTATCCGTTCCTTTTCAGCCAGTCTGCGAACAGTGTTAAAGTACGGGAAGCGCACAAGCGCATCATGCTCCTCAACCACCCCGACCGCGGTACGTTTTTCCTTTGTGTCGCTATGCTCTTATTGTCCTTGTCTATCTTCTGAGCGTTCATTACTACTACTACTACTACTACTACTACTACTACTACTACTACTACTA